ATATATATAAACAAACATATAATTTATCAATTTGTAATTAATATTAATTGTAAAATTAAACTTCTAAAAATTTAAATTTATTTTAAATTTAAGTCCAAACTTTGAATGTAAATTAATTAATATTAATTAATAATAATTAATACTTCTCATTGTTAAAACATCATCAACAACAACAACAAAAACATTTAAATAGTATGTTGAAAAGGTTGAAATTAGAGAAAATTGTGCATATGAATGAATTACGATTAAAACTATGAAAAATGCATGAACTTCAAAGAAGCTAAAGTTTATGGTAGTTTTGATTTGAAAGTATTTTTTTGGTATTGCATAATCCCCATTAATAAAAATAAAGAATGAGTAGTCATGTTCAAAATGTCATTAAAAATATAATTCTATTTTAGACAAAAACAAGTTATTAATTATATTTCTTTGAATCTCAAACTGCCCCAAAGTGAATAATTGCATTATGAATAAATAAGCTTTCCATTGATGTATGGTTTGTTAGGATAGGATACAACTATTTGAAAATCTGGAATCTGAGGGTGCAAAAAAAAAAAAAAAAAGAGAAAATCATCTTTAAAGTTGTCCAAATGAAGTTCTTAGCATTGCACATTACTAATCAAAAATTACGTTTTAATATATTTACGGTAGGAAATTTACAAAATATCTTTATGGAACATGATCTATATCCTAATGATTTTTGACCCATACAATGTATTGTTGGCTATTGCTATAAATATACCTGTGCAACTTAAGACTGGTTTTGTGGTCCACAGTCACATTTGAATAATAAATGCATTAACTAATTCATAATAATAATTCAATAATAACAATAACTGAATGGTAATTGTTGTAGGGGTTTTGTGGACTTCAATTTGGACTCAATCTAAAACATGAGAATAAATGAGGAATACTGTGAAAATATGAATGTGATGCATGCAAAACGGAAACACAAACCAATGGATCACACACTCATATACCTTGAACAGGCTGCTCTGCTGGTGTGTGTGTCCGTAGGTAAGTATATCAAAGGCATCCTGGTCCGTGGCGTGGATCTGACCGATCACACCTCCTGGAAACTCATCCTCCATGGTTACGATGTGCACATGTAAAGGTGATGCCACTGGCTTGTGTACGCTCTCCTCTATCACACGCACCAACACAGTCGCCATCGACGACAGGGGTGGCCTGCCCGAATCACTGGCCTATGGGGTGAAACAGCGGACAGTGATTGGCTGAATCAAGCGTCAATCACAACCACAAAAATATTACCTGTATTTAATCTAAATTCTACATTTAAATAAAATGTATCAGTTTCCCCAAAAATGTCTTGTCTTTTTTAATACTGATAATCAGAAATGTTTCTTGAGCAGCAAATCAGCATATTAGAATGATTTCTGAAAGATCATGTGACACTGAAGACTGGAGTAATGATGCTGAAAATTGAGCTTTGCATCACAGAAATAAATTACATTTGAACATATATTCAAAAAGAAAAGAGTGATTTAAAATTGTAATAATATCTAACAATATCACTGCTTTTTTCTGTATTTTTCATGAAATAAATTCAGTCTTGGTGAGCCTAAGAGACTTTCAAACATATAAAAAAATCGTACTAACCCCAAATGTTTGATTTTTGGTAGTGTATAAATGCAATTTAATTAACTTTTTACAAATTTTGGTCCAGAATTTCTCTTTACCTGTACGTGAATGACATAATCTGTGCCCTCGGACCTACGAAACACCTTGTTAGATGTCAGCAGCCCCTCTCTATCCAGTTTAAACCACGCCCCCTCATTTCCTGATAGGATGTGGAAATGAAAAGGCGGCCCATTGTGGCTGGCGTCCTTATCGATGACGGACAGCTGTAGGACACTTGTTCCCAAAGGCTTGTTTTCCTGTTAATGAGTAAAGCTCACATTAAAGGTGGGGTAAGCGATTTTTCAAAAACGCTTTAGAAAACTGATTCGGGCCGAATAGCAAAACAAACTTGTAGCCAATCAGCAGTAAGGGGCGTGTCTACTCATGATGTGGAGGAGAGAGCGTTCAGTGCACAGGACGGACATTAGCTGAGCCGAGCGACAGAAAAATCGAGATGGCGGATAAAAAACAAAAGAGGAAAACGTCTGCGGAGCAAAAGAAGGCTTAAGGCAATAAGGCAAGAATTAGGACCCGTGTAAATATTAGGGCTGTGTATCACCTGTATTGATACTCGTATCGTCAAATCTCTGTGACGATACATCGTCGTATCGATATTTTGAACACAGCACTAGTAAATATCGGATCAGATTTCCAGCACTGGAGAGAACTCAAGGAGCGGAAGGCTGCGATCGGACGCCGAGGTTGCTTTGTTTCTTCTCGATAGGTGAGCAACAACGTGTATGCGCCGCAACAGCTAAAGTCTGTCTAGTACACTGGACGTGAAAAACCATTGAAAATCATTTGAAATTTGTGTCAATACGTCATAAATAGAATGCAGCAGCAGTTTTCTGTCAGGGATTTGTCGTGTCGTGCCATGCCACATCCATTGTAGACCATAGATATGTATATATCTCTATGGTGTAGACAGCATCACTGATTATAATGTGTCAACATTGGCTACCAGAAATCGCTTACCCCACCTTTAAACTGCAGGAATTACTTGAACGTGATTGGCTGATTTACCTGTCACTCATTATATCGCACCTGTATAACAGCAGTGTGATTGGCTGGAGTGAAGGAGGGCGGGTTGTCGTTGACGTCAGAGATGTCGATGTTGACCTGAACGGTTGAGGACATCGCAGGCGTCCCGCTGTCAAGAGCTCTGACGGACAACGAGTAACCAGCCATCTACAGATACAGAAAGAACGGTTTAAAACGTACAGAATAAGAGATGAAAAGAAAGTACAAAGTAAAGAGACGAACACACATCTATATATTCTCTTTCACTCTGACTGTGTCATAAATAGTTCATGACAGGCTGACGGATGATCTGAAGCTCCATACATACAGACACACAATCTAGGTTTGGAACTCCTTGCTGTCAGTTTCTCTTCTTTTTGCTATTTTTCATCTGATTTTCTTCTCTGTTCATTTGAAAACACTGACATTTGTGGCATTTTATTTCATTTTTAAACTCCACTTATAATGTTAAGCACTATTCAGAAGGGATTCATTTTCTAAATGAATCATTATTTTCTCTTTTGTTGAATCTTAGTTACAATTAATGGACTTTATAGAGGATTTACACTGAAAGTTTAAAGAGTATGTCTACATCATTAATCAAAGTCTTATTTCAAAAGAGCCTGGAAATGATCTGACCCCTTTTAACCATCTATAATTGAACAGACAACAATGGCTTCATTACGCTAATTGACTTGGGAGTGAAAAGGAGGGTCTGCATGTAATCTAAGGAAACTTTATCACCATCTAGTGGTTGCAGTTATATAACATCATGTACCACTATCCATTCCAAACCAAGCCAGATTTTTTTAATGTTTAAAATAAATAAATAAAAGAGTATTAAAAAAAACTACATTTGGTTTCAGTAATTTTGTTTTTAAAGAAATTAATACTTTATTCAGCAAGGACGCATTATACTGATCACTGATCAAGTAACAGTAAAGACATTTATAATGTTACAAAAAATGTCAAATAAATGCTGTTTTTATGTTCCTTTTATACAAAAAAAAGTATCAAATAAGAAATAAAGACTGAAATAATACTTCAGAGAATTAAATCAAAATGAACAGAATTTATAAATAAAATACAAAAGTGTTATTTTAAACTGTAATAACATTTCATAACTATTTACTGTATTTTTTTTTTATAAAAAAATGCTAAAGGACTTGATTGAAAAAAAAATCTTATAAATTCCAAACTTTTAAATGAAGTTAAAAAATGATATTATATGTTATAATTTTTTATATTCATATTACCATTTTTTTTAATGAACTCACTTAACCAGTGATCAAAGCATATGCTTTACTAAAGCAAACTCCAAAATCATAATCTCCAAGGTTTCTTTTTTTTTTTTTTTAAATCTATTATGAAGCAGTTTCACAGGTGTAATACTATTATTTTAATCTCTTACACATGGAGAATCTTTCAAATTAAATGAAACACTATGACACTGTGTCTGTTATTAAAGGCTTTCCTGTGTGGATGTCTGCCATGAATGATTTGATTTCTTCTTCTCTTCAGCTGTTCCCTGATCAGTGTCATTTAAAATAAAGTCTTTGTGGGGATTTTGTCCTATTTGATGCCTTTATTTCTCTGTCACTCGGTTGTCATAGTAACGGTAGCCGTGGCGACGTCCCACATTCCTCACCGTTTCTCGATCCAGCTGCTTGTTGACTTTGATCTGGCCCGTGATTGGCTCGATGAAGAACTGGTTCTCTCGGTCGCCGCTGACGATGGAATACAGGATGTCGCCGTTTGCTTGGCTATCGACGTCTTCCGCGGTCACCTAGGTGATTGCGACAAATCACCAAATTATAATGTGGATCTCAAAGACACAAAAATAAGATGTACTGTCTGTGAATTTCATGAGTGGTTACCTTGACCACGGTGTCTCCTATGTTAGCGTCCTCGCTGATGGACAAGCTGTAGGCGTCGCGGCTGAACATGGGGGCATTGTCATTGACGTCTGTCAGGTTGATGTTCACCATGGTAACAGCACTAAGGGGCTGAGTCCCGCCATCAGTTGCTTCCACCGTAAGGAAATAATCCTTGCAGGACTCAAAGTCCAGCGGTCGAGATACGGAGATGGCCCCTGTACGTGGCACAATATACAAATCTTGTTATAGAGTGAATCTATGGGATATATTTTATAAGTCATAAATATATAAATAAAAATAAAAATAACTTATACCAACATTTTTATACTTTACACTTATATCATAGGCACATTCAAACATTTAATCTGATAATATCCAGGCATCATACAAACTTTTGATAATTTTTGGCCATCATAGGTGCATTGAAATATGTGTTGGAGGTAACGCATTACAAGTAACGTGAGTTATGTAATCAGATTACTTCTTCAAATAAATAATGCAAGTTACTTTGTTTTCGCATTTATTCACTGACAGCTCTCCTGTCCCTGTGTTGACAGAAATTGGGAGTGAAATGCAGAAGTACTTTCTTCAGCCTAATTTCATTTTTGGTGTGAAAGGGCCTTTACAGTTGGCAAAAAATAGAACTTTTGGGCATTTTGTTATTAAAAAACAAACAAACCAGCCCAGCACAGGTGACAAAAAGTAACACAAAAGTGACATACTGCACTACTTTACATAAAAAGTAACTAAGTAACATAATTAGTTACTTTTTATGGAGTAATGCAATATTGTAATGGATTATGAATGCTCAAAGAGTCAGAGCCTGTCGTGAAAGTTGAGGGTCCTGCGATTTGATTAGGAAAGAGATGGCCGAGAAACATGATACGCCATCTCGTATCCATCGCGAGACAAAAAAGGACGTGAAGCAGCCTGTTCAGAGTCATAAATTACAATTATTTTTTTTGCCAGAAAGGTTTGAGCAAGCCGCTTAGCGTCTATCAGTCCATCCATATGGTGAGATTAGCTGGCCAATGTTTTTCAAGAGCTGCTTCTGGAGAAATTGCATTATGGCAGGAGGGAAAGGGTCATGGTGATGTGGACCAGGATGAAGGCTGGATGAAGCTTTGATAAACATTACAAGATTTCAGATTTAACCACTTTTTTTTAAGTTTTATTTTTGGTGTTTTATGCCTTTTATTTAGATAGGACAGTAGGTTGACAGGAAGCGAAGTGGGTGAAAGAGAGGGGGGTGGGGTCGGGAAAGGTCCGCGAGCAGGGACTCGAACTCGGGACGCCCGAAGCGCAATGGCGCTACATGTCGGCGCACTGCCCACGAGGCCATCGGCGCCGACAGCTCACTAAGTTTTGAGGCTCAACTCAAATGCCCCCTGCTAAACAAACTGGCCTGGTTTTCAGCTTGACCTTATTTCAACAAGGTCATGTTTTATGTTCATAGATAATTTTCCCTGTACTTCTTGGCTGCAGTAAGTGGACTCACTGGTTCCAAAAATATTCCTGGCTTTGGCTTGTCATGTTTACCATGTAGATTTGAAACTGTCAAAAAAATGCACTAATTAGATTTTGAGCCAACTGAAAGAACAGCAGGAGAACCAGCTCTGACGACTTCTACATGTTTCCCAGAATGAACTTTAGTGTTTTAACTCACCGGGTCACAGACGGGGCTGTTGTCATTGGTGTCGATGACCATGACCTCTACGGCTGCCGTGGAAACGTGGAGTCCGTCTGTCGCTGTGACATTGATGAGGTACCGTTCTTGTTCCTCGCGGTCTAACGGTCGTTTAACGTACAGTTTCCACTCTCCCTGAACCAACCCCAGAGCAAACACCCCTCCTCTGTTACCACCCACACACACACACACACACACACACACACACACACACACACACACACACACACACACACACAAGAGATTATACCGGACAGTTACTCTCTCAATAGTCTGTGACAATTTAAGTAGCAATAAAATCCCCTACCGATTGTAACACAACACACGCTCACTTCCAGGATTATCTGCAGTTTTAATAACCTCCATTAGTCCTCTCAATGATGGCATACTCATTAGTATGAACTATAATAATCAGTTCTTTATATTCACATTTAAATGATCAACACTGCCATCAATTAGGTCCTCATAACAGCCTTCCTGATCTATCGCACAGTCGGCAGCCATACCTGGCTCATTAGGACAGGTCATCTTTTAAACCTCAAGTAGACAGAGGTGGAAAGAGAGAAAAAATGAGAACGAGAGACTGAGTGAGAGTTAAATGGAAACGGCTCTATAATCAAAGCAGCCGCGCTGACAAGCACCCAATTACTGTACACTCATAGTATCAACACACGCTGCCTTATTCATCTAATAAAGAGTGTCATTTAACTCAGCTGGGGGCTGATAACACAGAACAGCTTCTATCAGAGACGCGTTAACAAAGGCCTGGACGCCTTCCAACTCCATTTCTCTCATCCCACGCTCTCGCTCATTGGCTTGAGGGAGTGTTCAGCATGACTTTCATACACTGCATGCTTTTTCTGTGCTTCATAAACGATAGCTTGAAAACTTTAATTTTCTTGCACATGCACAGTGGCTTCAATGTATTTGGGCACTTAAAAACTGACCCTACTTGTCTGAATGCCACCACATTATATAATAATAATTAAAAAAAAAAATAAATAAATAATAAAAATAAAAAATAAAATGTTTACGCGTGTCATAATAACACAGTAATCAAAGGTGTTGTTTATCCCAGTCAAAATCTCATGATAGGCTATTTGATATTTTTCAGTGGCATAATGCAATATACGGTACTGTAAATGTTTGGGGTCAGTACGTTTTTTTTGTTTTTTTTAAATAAATTATTACTTTTATTCAGCAAGGATGTGGTAAATTGACTGTAAGTGACTATATGCGCTTAAATGTTACAAAATATTTCTATTTCAAATAAACACTGTTCTTTTGAACTCTATTAAAAAAAATGTATCACTGTTTCTAAACAAAATTAAGAACCACAGCTGTTTTCAGCATAATAATAATAAATGTTTCTTGAGCCGCAAATCAGCATATTAGAATGATTTCTGAAGGATCATGTGAAATGATGCTGAAAACTCAGCTTTGCCATCACAAATTAAATTATATTTAAAAATATATTCAAATAGAAAACTTATTTTACCATATAATAATATTTCACAGTATTACTGTTTTAACTGTATTTATGATTTAATAAATGCAGCCTCAGTGAGCATAAAAGCCATCTTTTAAGAAACCCAAAAATGCAATTTGGAATAGAATGCAATCAGAATTGTACTGAATTGCATGACACATTAAAATACAAAAATATGGCATGCATATAATAATACACATATATAGCTTACAGTTGGTCACATAGCACTGGAAAATCAAAAAAAAAATTTTTTTTAAATTTTGTTTTTAAATTGTAATACAATTGTCATATTGTTTTAATTGTCATAGTTGGTACAGTACTTTATCTAGTCACACACAGACCTTATAGGTTTGAAAATCAACTATCTATACACATGCGTAAAACATCTCTCTCAAACAACATTTCATTCTTCTTGTCAACCAATTAAACTCAACTGATGTGTTTCCAGCCATTTACAGTCAGTTCTGGTTGATTAGTGTTTCTGCAGTGACCCTTCACCTTTACGAGGCAGCAACACGGAGAGCTATTTAACGGCTGTTAAATCGTAGCTGTTACGGCGGGGATATTCAGCGCTATTGTTAAGCTGAGATACACAGTGCGCTGGTCTAACATGGTTTAAGATATCCTTTATGAACCTTTAAACGACTTTCAGCAAAGAACCTCTAAATAAAAGTTCAAATTATCCAATTAACCACCATAGAGTAACTGTTTACTGTTTAATTGCTCTGTGCTCTGTTGAACACAGCAGTAAAATACCCTGAGAGCTGAATTTACCCACAATGCTCTCGCTTCCTAAAGAGAATAAAGACATTTGGGTAACTCAAATCTGTTTGTATATTGGTCTCTTTCTTTCCCTCGGTGTGTATTATGATACGGTGTGCAGTTCTCTGAGCCAGTTTGTGCCGCTGGGCTGTGAGAAGTGTATTAGAGTCTGTCTGACCTTTGAGTTTGTCTTGAACTAGAGGATTTAAACGTTATGAAAGTGTGGACTGTAGCGAAGGAGACTGAGAGAGAAAGGGAAAGAGACTATTCTCAGTAGAACACATGGCAACTAAACAAGGGCTCGTGTCACAAAGTTTACATGCTGTGGGCTACGATTTAATTAAAGGGATAGTTCACTCATTTTTATGAAGTTGTAACGTTGTTTGACTTTCTTTCTGAAGGCTGCATTCTTTCCAATGCAATTACAATCAATGAACTGAATATTTTAGACTTTAAATGATATGAAAACATCACAAAAGTGGACCAAAAGTGCACTTATTTACATTGATATAAACAATAGAGAGACTTTTTATATTTATTCATTTTCTTTCTTTCGGCTTTAAAAGATACAAAAACATCATAAAAGTGGACAAAAACTGTGAAATATATATATATATAAACACACACACACACACACACACGCACACACATATTAATATATATTTAATATCAGGATAGATAGGTAATATTAAGAACTATTTATTATTATTTATTATATTTTATATGCATTTATACTTATTAAAAAGTAAAATGTGTACCTTGAATGCACTTTTTGAAGTAATTTTTTGGACAAAAACTGTGAAATATATATATATATAAACACACACACACACACACACACGCACACACATATTAATATATATTTAATATCAGGATAGATAGGTAATATTAAGAACTATTTATTATTATTTATTATATTTTATATGCATTTATACTTTAGTTATTTAAAAAAAGTAAAATGTGTACCTTGAATGCACTTTTTGAAGTCATTTTTATCCAAAGTGTCTGCTAAATGCATAAACGTAAATGTAAAATGATATTTAGATACGGCAGAGAAAGAAAATACTCAGAAAACAATCCTCGGTAGAATGTACACCAACAATAAGCAACTAAACAAGTTCCAGTATCACAATGTTTACTTTAGTTTCAATGCTGTGGGCTGTAATTTAGTTAAGAGTCAGAGGCTGTGTGCTTGTGTGTGTTGTGCATGGTAAATCTTGTTAAAAATACTGCTCCTGCTGGTGGCAGCACAGTCTAAACCATGATCACAGCATAAAGGTTGAGCTTAATCGAAATTCTGTTCAGGCCGAGAAGTGTGTTTCTTTCTCTGTGTGTGTGTGAAAAAGCATGAATTATAGAACAAGGCAGCTCCCTAATTCAATGTTATGAGTTTCTGAGCGCCTAATTTACAAGTGTGTGCTGCTTAGGAGCATGTGCAAGGTGTGTATGTGTGTGTTTGTGTGTGCAATCTGCTCCTTGTCACCAAGCAAGGTGTTCAACACTGGCTGAATATAAAGGTATATTTAAAGTTGACTGAGCTAGATGCTGATAAGAAGGAGGTTTATATTTTGAGCGCCTAATGTGTACTGCTTAGGAGCATGTGCAAGGTGTGTATGTGTGTGTTTGTGTGTGCAATCTGCTCCAAACCAAGCAAGGTGTTCAACACTGGCTGAATATAAAGGTATATTTAAAGTTGACTGAGCTAGATGCTGATAAGAAGGAGGTTTATATTTGCCCTTTTCAAAAGACGCTATTCACCTAAACTACTGCTTTCGGAAATGTCACTGTATTATGTTTAGTTCGTGAAGTGATGCGCTTCCCCATCACAAATCCCACCGGTGTAATTTGCATGCAGTTGCATCACAGCTTTAATAAAATCCTTATAAAACGAGAGTGGTTTTTCTCTCCAGCAAGAAGTCAGTCCGCGTCCTCTTTTATATGCATTTATACTTATTAAAAAGTAAAATGTGTACCTTGAATGCACTTTTTGAAGTAATTTTTATCCAAAGTGTCTGCTAAATGCATAAACGTAAATGTAAAATGATATTTAGATACGGCAGAGAAAGAAAATACTCAGAAAACAACCCTCGGTAGAATGTACACCAACAATAAGCAACTAAACAAGTTCCAGTATCACAATGTTTACTTTAGTTTCAATGCTGTGGGCTGTAATTTAGTTAAGAGTCAGAGGCTGTGTGCTTGTGTGTGTTGTGCATGGTAAATCTTGTTAAAAATACTGCTCCTGCTGGTGGCAGCACAGTCTAAACCATGATCACAGCATAAAGGTTGAGCTTAATCGAAATTCTGTTCAGGCCGAGAAGTGTGTTTCTTTCTCTGTGTGTGTGTGAAAAAGCATGAATTATAGAACAAGGCAGCTCCCTAATTCAATGTTATGAGTTTCTGAGCGTCTAATTTACAAGTGTGTGCTGCTTAGGAGCATGTGCAAGGTGTGTATGTGTGTGTTTGTGTGTGCAATCTGCTCCAAACCAAGCAAGGTGTTCAACACTGGCTGAATATAAAGGTATATTTAAAGTTGACTGAGCTAGATGCTGATAAGAAGGAGGTTTATATTTGCCCTTTTCAAAAGACGCTATCCACCTAAACTACTGCTTTCGGAAATGTCAATGTATTATGTTTAGTTCGTGAAGTGATGCGCTTCCCCATCGCAAATCCCACCGGTGTAATTTGCATGCAGTTGCATCACAGCTTTAATAAAATCCTTATAAAACGAGAGTGGTTTTTCTCTTCAGCAAGAAGTCAGTCCGCGTCCTCCCGCAAAATCCAGCTAGTAGCCCTAGAGCGAATAATCCATTATCAGGAGAGGATGAATGAGGTGTAATTGCTGTGGACTTCTGACATTCCATAATAGCGCTGTTCTACATTATGCTTACATGCAGAACAGGGTTTCAGAAAATCAGGCTATGTTTAGATTGAGAGCACACAGGCATACACAGAGATACGGTACATGGCCAACAGTATGCGGACACTTAAACTATTTGTGCTTGTTGAACATTCAAAACAATGGGAATGAAAAGGCAGTTTGACACCTCTCTCCGTCTTTCTTTATGGATGATTTTCTACTAAAATGTTTGTCTAAGGAAACTGCATGGCTGTCGCTCGCACATGTAAATTGTTGAAGCTGAAATAACTAAACCTGTCAATTTTATGCAAAAACTGACTAAAGCTTTTTTCACTAAAAAATATAAAAAAATGCATCATATAGAACGACTTAATTTTAGAGAATGTATCTTTTTAATGTGCATTTTGTCGTACTGCACTGGCACATTTTGTTTTTTACTTGATTTTAATTTTTATACTTAAAACAAGTGAAAAAACTGCTTGTGCAGTACAACAGTCGAACAATATTATGTACTGTATATAGGGCTGCACGATTAATCGAATGCGATTGTCATGCGCATTTTGTTAGTAAAGCCGGTTCTGTAATCA